GGTCCTCCTCAGTTTTAGCAAGCAGGTTTGTGCCATCTGCATAACGCAGATTGTTGATGAATCTTCCTTCAATCCTGATGCCACATTTCTTCTCATACAGCCCAGCCTCCCAAATAATTTGTTCTGCATCTAAATTGAAAAGGTATGGAGATAGGACACATCCCTGGAGTACACCTTTCCCAATTTTGAGCCATGCAGTGCTTCCTTGCTCTGTTCTGACAACTGCCTCCAAGTACAGGTTTTGCATTAGCACCATCAAGTGTTCTGGGATCCCCATAGTTTGTTGTGATCTACATAGTCAAATGCCTTTGTCAATGAAACACAGATAGACATTCTTCAGGTATTCCCTGCTTTCAGCTAAGATCCATCTAACATTAGCTACAATATCCCTAGTACCACGATCCCCTCTAAACCCAGCCTGCACTTCTGGTAGTTCTCTGTTGATGTGCTGTTCCAGTCATTTTTGGATAACCTTCCGCAGAATTTTGCTTGCATTTGATTTTAATGATATTGTTTGATAATCCAACACTCTGTTGGATCATCTTTCTTTTGGATTGGAATTGGCCAAGTGGTTATCCTCCAGATTTCTTGATACAACTTGGTGAGCACCTCTAGGGCAGCATCTGTTAGTTGAAATATGTCAGTTGGTATATCATCAATATCTGGGGCCTTATTTTTCGCCAATTATTTCAAAGCAGCTTGAACTTCTTCCTTCATCACCATAGGCTCTTGCTCATATGTTGTTTCATGAAATTCTACAATGACTCTGTATACTCTTTCCATCTTTTTTAACACTTCCTGGATCATTTAATATTCTGCCCAAAGCATCCTTACGGATAGCAACTTGAGGTTTGAGTTTGTTCTTCAGTTTCTTGAGCTTAAGAAATGCTGAGCGAGTTTGTCCCTTTTGATTTTCTGACTCCAGCTCCTTGTACATTTCATTGTAATATTTTACCTTGTATTCCCGCACTGCCTTTTGAAATCTTCTTTTCAGCTCTTTAATATCTTTATTTGTTCTCTCTGCTTTGGTTTCTCAGTGCTCCAGTGCAATATTCAGAATCTCTTCTGACAGCCATTTTGGTCTTATCTTCCTCCTCTGTCTTTGTAATAACATTTTGCACTCTTCCCGAATGATATTTTTGAAAACATCCCACAACTCATCTGGTCTTCGCTCATTGGTGTTCAAGGCCTCAAACCTGTTCCTGAGATGGTTTTGACTCCTTGGGATAGACCCAAAGTCATATTTTGGTTCCCGTGGATTTGATTTAATTTTCCTTAGCTTCAGCTTAAACGTGCATATGAGTAGTTGGTGGTCTGTTCCACAATCAGCACCTGGCCTAGTTTTCACAGCTGATATTGAGCTTCTCCAGAGGTTCTTGCCACAGATATAATCAGTCTGATTCCTATGCACACCATCAGGTGAAATCCACGTGTATAACCTGTATTTATGTTTCTTATAAAATGTATTTGAAATAAATAAATCATTGAGTGTGCAAAATTCAATCATTCTATCTCCAGCTTCATTTCTGTCACCAAGTCCATGTTTTCTGACTACTGATATTTCTCTGTTCCCAACTTTTTTCATTCTAGTCACCCACTCTTATTAGTGCATCTTGATTGCGTGTTCAATCGACCTCTGACTGCCAAAGTTGGTAGAAATCTTCTATTTCCTCTTCTTTGGCTCTCGTTGTTGGTGTATATATCTGAATGATAATGGTATTCACTGGGCTTCCTTGTATGCGTATGGACTTTATCCTGTCACAATATTGTATTTCAAGACACATCTAGAAATGACTTTTTAAACTATGAAAACCACCTCATTTTTCCTCATCTTTTTATCTCCAGCATAATAGATCATATGATCGTCTGACTCAAAATACCCCATGCCAGTCCATCTCACCTTGCCAATCCTTAGTATGTCGATATTTATGCGTTCCATTTCATCCTTAACAATACATAATTTCCCTACATTCATAGTTCTCCACATTCCATGTTCCAATCACTAGTGTCTGCTTACAACTATTCCTCTTCCTTTGTATTTCCATACTTGAAAAAATTCTAAGGCTGATCCAGAAGTAAAACTCAATTTTACAGTATACAGGTGGGCAATGGAAGAAGAAACCATTTTCAATTGCAGATATTATGAAAACCAACATGTTTTCACCAGCAATTGGGTCACTTCCCGACTTGCTATAAGATCATGTCAATTTCAAGATCATAAATGCAGTGTTTCATTTCTTTTTGTCAGCGGGCTAGAGCTATCTCGGTGGTGTTTACAAGACTGTCTTTACTTACTGGTTGGCTCATCATGTGCATGTTACTGAACTGATCTGTGGCTCAATTTTCTCATCTCCTAGATAGGGAATGGAGATTTTAATATACCATTTCATTGGATTTAAATAGTTGTTGTTGTTGTTGTGTGCTATTGAGTTGGAACCTACTAGTAGCTGACCTTTCAGTTGGTTTTCCGAGGCAGTTAATTGCATGGGAGGAGATGACCCATCTTTCTCCCACGGAGAAGCTGGTCAATTCAATCTACATGCCTTTGAGTTGGTAGTACAGTTCCTTCCCACTAGGCCACCAGAGCTCCTCTTAACTATTAGATGGATGCATACACAGATTCCACTTGACAAGTGTTTGACACTTAGAGGCCTTTGATAAATGTTAGGTGTCATCATTATTGCTTTTCTTTATAAGAGATAGCAAATATCATGGATAGTTAACTCACCTCAAGATTTTATTTTTGTCTTTGACAAGGAGAATCAAAATATGAGTTGTGGTTCAGTGCATGCATGGTCCCTTGACTTTTCTTTGTAGTATGTGTTTTAGCAAAGATAAGGGAGCCATATCTAAAATGTATAGAACACTTGAGCAATTAATAAGAAAAAGACAACTGAATCACAAAATGTCCACAGGACATGAATAGACATTTCATCAAAGAAGAAATTGAGATGGCCAACACACAAAGACATGTTCAAAATCTCTAGCCATCTGAGAGATGCAAATCAAAACATTTATGAGATATCACCTTACTCCAGCAACAATAGCAAAGTTCAACAGGATAGCAAACAACAAATAGTGAGGATGTGAAGAGATTTAAACTCTCATTCACTGATAGTAAAAATGTAAAATGGTACAACCATTATTAAAGGCAGTTTGTACTTTCTAAAAAAGTTGGAACTAGAAATACCATTTGAGACAGCTATCATACTATTGGGAAAATAGTGTAAAGATACCAGAGCAGTTATGCAAACAGATGTATGTACATCCATGTTTATTGCTGTGTTATTCACAATAGGGAAGAGATAGAAACAATCTAAATGCCCATCAGCAAAGGAATGGACAGAAAAACTGCAGTATATCCATACAATGGAATATTACACAGTAATGGAAAATAATGAACTTGCAAAACACTACACAAGTGGGTAAGTCTAGAAGACACTCTGCTTAATGAAATCTCTCAGTCACAAAAAGACAACTATTGCACTGGGCTACTGTTATAAAAATAGATGAACGTAGAGGAGCGAGACAAGAAAGGAATGGATAGATAATGAACACTACACTGGTATAGGAGAAGGAAACGACTATCTGAAAGGAATAGATGAATTACACATTATATGTATGACAATTACAAATCTGGAACAAGATAAGCATTACAAAGTGATTTGGGGAAGGATGGAGAAGGGGGAGGGGGAGAATGTGTATCAATGAATGAATTAAAATCTATCCTTTGAGTCTTCATTAAAATAATAATAAAATATAAAATGGGCAAAACTACTTCCAAGAACCTCTTTAAAGTATCAAAGTGCACAGTTATCACTATGGGTACTGAGGTGCACCCACATCTGATGGTACTTTTAACTGCTCAAATGCATGTAAAAGTTGGAAGACGAATGAGGAAGAGTGAACATTTGATAGTTTTGAATTGTGGTGTTGACAAAGAATATTAAGCAGACTGTCAAAAGATCAAACATAGTGGTTTTGGAATAAGTACAGCCAGAATGCTCCTTAGAAGGAAGAATGGTGAATCTTTTTATCTCACATATTTTGGGCAGGTTGGTTATTAGGAGGGACTGATCACAGAAACAAAACATCATGCTTGGAAAATAAAATGTCGCTATTCAAAAAGAATATACTCAATGAGATATGTTCATACAGTAGTTGCAATAATGGACTTAAACATAGCAGAGCTTATGAGAACAGTATTTCATTCTTTTGCCGACGAGGCCATTATGAATCAGAGCCACCATGATGATACCTAACAAGATAAATAACAAGAAAAGATACTAACAAGAAAATTAAATTCAAGACTATTTAAACAGTTTTGCAACACTTCCATGGACAATATACTCAGAAATATATCACAGCATGACCTTTGGTTTCCTTTGGCTTACAATTTAATTTTCACTTTTATAGACATTACTGTAAGGATTTAGAATCATCAATAGGTGTGTATTATTTTAAATTTGAAAGATGAAAGATTTCTAGAAGCAAATATCCAAAAAGTCTAGAAGGATTATGAGGAATCCTGGAATAAGTAAGGAGCTCTGGTGTCTCAGTGATAAGGAGCTGCACTGTCAACCTGAAGGCATGTGTTCAAATCCCTAGTGGCTCCATGGAAGCAAGATGGGCAATCTCTTCCTCTTCAATTTACTTCCTCTGAAAATCCATTGGAGGTTCAGGTATGCATCAGGTTTTGACTTGATGGCACACAACAACAACAACATCAAATAATTATAATCTTGAGAATAGAAATAAATCAATAGTAATTATATACATGAATGAAACATAATGTGTAAGAATGATTGTATGCAAACCAATAAAATATGCTAAAAGAGACAATATAGTAGATAAAATAGATTGTGTAGGAAATAGAATTATGTTATTGATGATTGAATGTTACATGGTACTGAGATTATGTCCACTTTCAGGAGATACAAGGTTTTGAAATAATCCATTAAAACTAGTTTTGCAATCTCCGGACGCACAGATTCTTTTACCTTTGAGTAAAGCTGTCAGGATAGCTAAATCAATATCTTGATGTCCTTCTGATCCCATCCGAAATACTGTGATCTGCAATTTGAGACAAAGTGGTCATTAGTAATGCATTTTTCCTCAAGAGAAATGAAATCAATGAGACCATATCTACACACAGATACATTCTGCCTTTACAAGGCACGCACATGCAGGAAACCTAACCAAAGCTCTCTTCTTCGGTAATCATCGAGGTCATGCATTATGAAAGAAACTACCTTTCATAATTGTATTGGGTATCGTTCTTATTGATCAAATGCATAGACCAAAGAAAGTGTCCTGTTTCATTCAGTTTTAAAATTATGAATTCTAGGATTTACAAAATTCTATAAATCTTAACATAAACTGAATTGAGAAATAATTATTTTAAAAAATTGGTTGTTGTTGTTGTTGTTATGTGCGGTCGAGTCGTTTGCGACTCATAGTGACCCTATGTACAACAACCCTAAACCCTGCTCTGTCCTGTGCCAATCGCATTGCCTCTGACACACCCATCCCGATTACCCCAGTCACTGAATCAATCCACTTGATAGAGGGTCTTCCCCTCCTGCGCTGTCCCTCTACCCTACCAAGCATGATGTCCTTCTCCAAGGACCTGTCTCTCCTTACAACATGTCCAAAGTATGTCAGACGAAACCCCAGAGTCCTTGCCTTCAAGGAGTAGCCTGGTTTAACCCTCTCTAGGATGAATCTGTTTGTTTTCTTGGCAGTCCATGGTACATTCAATACTCTTCTCCAGCACCACAGCTCAAAGGTGTCAATTCTCCTTCTATCCTCCCTAGTCATTGTCCAACTCTCTGATGCATAACAAGTAATTGCAAAAACCATGGCCTCTATCAGGCGGACCTTAGTCTCCAAAAAGACACCGTTGCTCTTGAGTACTTTAGAGAGGTCCCTAACAGCAGACTTTCCCATCGCAATACGTTTTTTTATTTCCTGGCTGCTGGTGCCAAGAGTGTTGACCGTGGAGCCGAGCAAACTGAAGCTGTGAACAATCTCAATCTCTTCACCATCCATCCTCATGCTACCGATTGGTCCAGTGGTGAGAATCTTTGTCTTCTTGACATTGACCCTCAATCCATACTGAAGGCTGCAGTCCTTGACCCTCTGATTAATCATGGGGTTGTACAATTTGATTAGTTGGGGGTGAGGGAAATGGAAAGATTTTGTTCTTGAAAACAGCATATTCGAATTTTGTAAATAAACTAGTAGAAAGATTAAAAAAAATTTTAAAAACCCACACAACTGGTCAGTACGCTCTTAACTTTGTGTGTGTGTGCGTGTGTGCGTGTGTGTCTGTGTGTGTGCACACGTGTGTGCATGATGGTTCTTGTGTGCTTGTTTAAGATCTCCCTGTGCTTGTGAGCACCATATAGCCACTTACTTTTCAGCCTTAGTTACCCAAGGGTTTCAAGATTCTTCCAGACCCTTCAGTCCTCTAATTACCCTTGAATCACCATTAGAATATTTTCACGGTATTCCCAGGTTGTATGATGCTATGCAAGACACTACATCCCATCTTTATTTTGATTATCCAAGGGTGAAATGATCTTTGGGGAAGAATAAAGGTAAGGAAAGTGGAGAGATGGCAGTGAACAATCACTCCATGTTGGTGATTTGACGAGTTGATAAGAGATAAGGAGGGAACTGGGACACTATTTCAAAAGATGGTGCTAATAATGGTAGACCTTGCTATCATAAGCAGATATTGGGAATAACATATATTTTTACAACAACAAAGACTTCCTCTCACACTTTTATAATTCCATGATGCTAAAAAAGAGGTCATGATAAATGGTATCTTACAAAGGTCATGAGAAATGTTCTCTCAAATGTACATACGAGCTTGTTTTGTGTTTCTTGGGGGAGATCTTAAACAAGCACACAAGAAACACCATGGCATCCATCTCACTGTTTAACAGGATGTTAGCTTTGTGCTCTAAGACGTGATACTTCTGACCAGGACGCCTAATGGTACAATGGTAAAGTGTTTAACTATTAACCAAGAGAACAGAAACTCAAACCCATCAACTCCACAGCAGAACAGACTTGGTGATGTGTTCCTGTAAATCTAAACCCATTGCCACCATGTTCACTCCAACTCACAGATACCCTGCAGAATGGCTCCACAGGGTTTTCAAAATGATAATCTTTACAGAGGGAACCCTGGTGGGCTAGTCGGCAGTGAGTCGTGCTGCTAACGGAAAGGCATCCCCCGCAGTTTGAACCCATCATCAGCTCTGTGAGAGAAATACGACCTCTTCTCTTGCTATTTACAGTCCATTGAAGGGTCAACTGTGAGTTGGTTCTGACTCGACAGCAATGAGTGGTCTTCTTTTAATTTTTTTAATCTTTGTAGAAGGAGATGGCCATATCAGTTACCAGCTGGGTGCTTAATCACTGCACAAGAAGGACCCCTACTATATAAAAGCTTCCAGCAATGTTGGACACCGTATAGAACAATTCTATTGTGTCACGTGGGGTTACTATGAGTTGGAATCACCTATACAGGAATGTACTTTATGGCATGCTCATTCGAGAGAGAAAGCTTCCATCTTCTATATATTGACGTGTGAAACTTAAAGCGAAGTGGCAGCAACCTTTGAAAATTTTGGACATAGATTTCAACTGAGAACTACAGTGCTAAATAGATACGAGATGAACAGTCAGAGGGCAAGTATAAGAAAACATACAACTCCTTAGGTAATAAGAAAGGGAAATTCTATCTTCATTCTAACAGTAGGATGTAGGTAGTTAAAAAAATATATCTCTGTCTCTGTATCTATATCTATATCATCTATCTCATGGTCAGTTTCCAGGCAAGAATGAGCTGGAAGATAATTTGTAACTAGTTTGCATACTAATTAACACATAAAGTCATTTATAATACAAAGGACAACTGAAGAAATCTTTTTGTCATTTTAATAAAGAATGGATAAGCAGAGTCATCATAGAAAAGTATAAAATTTGGTTTAAAACAAGAAAAACTACTAAAGTTAGGGATACATTAATTGATGGGAAACAACAATATGGCAAATAGGTAAATTGTCACTAAATAGATATATAAATTAATTTTATTGGCCTTTTTTGCCATATTATTTTTACTACCTGAATGCAAAGAGAAAGAAGAGCAAGAAGGGAAAATCTGTCTTCTTAGTTCTGAAGACTAATCAAGCCAAAAAATTAAAAATACAGTAAAGCCTGGGAAAGCAGGAATCCGAAGGTCAGAGACGGAGAATTAAACTATCTTGTGCCAAAGGGGAAAGTGGTCAGGTTGCATCTTGTCAAAAGTGGAAAACTTGTGAGAACTGGCAAAACAAGGTGGTCCTCGGGAATTCCGGCTCTCACAGCTGCATTCACTGTAATACTATACTAGTAAATTAATGAAGACTGGAACACAGGAACATTCCTTGAATATATTAGCACTTGGCTGAACAAAGATGAGTCAGGGGGAGTGAAGACTGATGATACTAGACAATTTTGCTTTCCATGTTGAAAACCTGAATTGGTTTCCTACTTCAAAGAATAAAAAGTTCCAAGTTAAAAATATGAAATTGCATAACAAAATTATAAATAAATCAAGAACAATATAGGTAAATAGTTCATAAATAATATGTATCATAAATAATGTATCATAAAGATCATAATTACATAGGTAAAGATGTAATAGAAAATATATAAAGATCATATATGTTCACAGTATTATTCTTTGTGGGGGTTTTGAAATTTTCATTTTTCATAGAGCTATCTTGTGTTATATACTTTGATTGGCATACTGGTTACTAAACCAAATTATGTCCACTTACAGAAAATCATACTTTAATAAGACTAATTTTGTCTGCATACTTCTTATCCTTTAAATATCAATTCTAAAACTTTTGTAGCCAGGCAGGATGATATTTGTTTTCAAATACACTATCATTCACTCTTTGTAATGTCATGTAAGTGCATAAAATTAACATACTCATTTTTAATTCATTACTACCAAATTGAAACTGAATCATAGCTGAACCTCTAGCAGGTTTTCAGAGGCTGTAAATCACACAGGACAAGATTGTCCGTTTTTCTCCAGCAGAGTATTTGGTGGATTAGAGCCACTTACTGTTGGGCTGGCAGCACATCTCTCTACCATATGAGTATATGTTAATAAATGAACATTGTTGTTGTTGTTAAAGAAACATTATATGGTGCTTATTTGGATATGGACATGCAGATGAAACAAATACATAGAAATTACTAAGGCTAAGCTATCCAGGTCCACAATGGTTAAAAACAATAAGGGATTCCATCACCCTCCCCCACCCCTAAGTTTGAAGGAAGTTACTTAAGGAGCCAAAAAATTATTTGAATGCCTGCATTGAATTCCTGTTGCATCTGACTTCTTCATGCCTCAAGTTTCTATATTTATTTTGGTTGTTGTTGGTTTTTATGTACAAGTCACCTGCCACTCACAGTGACTTTATGTACAGTAACTCTGAACCCTTCTCTATCCTGAGCCAACCTTATTATCTCTGACACACCTACCCCATTACCCAAGTCACTGAGTCAATCCATGTCATTGCAAGTCTTCCTCTCCTGCACCGTCCCTCAACCCTTTTAATCATCATGTCCCTCTCCAAGGACTGGTCCCTCCTTGCAAGATGCCCAGCGTATGTCAGACGAAGCTTCAGAATCCTTGCCTCCAAGGAGCAGCCTGGTTTCATGATCTCCATGACAAACTTCTCTAGCACCACAGCTCAAAGGCATCAATTCTCCTTCTATCATCCCTAGTCATTGTCCAGCTCTCTGAAGCATAGCACATAATTCTGAAGACCATGGCCTTGCTCAGGTGCACCTTAGTCTCCAGAATGACATTGTTGCTTTTCAGTACTCTGGAGATGTCCTACTCTGGAGATGTCCCTGAGAGCAGCCTTTCCCAACGCAATTAATTTTTTTAAAATATGGTACCAAGAGTGTTGATTGTGGAGTTAAGCAAACTAAAGCTGTTAACAATTTCAATCTCTTTATCATCTATCATGATGCTGCCAATTGGCCCAGTG